CCCGCCCCCGCCAGGCCCGCAGCCCGGCGCCCCGAGCAGGGCCCTATCTGCGGGACGCGAGCGGCCGGCCCGCGCCAACTCTGCCTCCCGGGGCCGCGCGGGGCAGGACGCGCGGGGGGCGGGCCGGGGCGATGAAGCCGGGCCCGGCGGGGTCACCTGGCGGCGGACGGCGGTCAGCGGTCAGCGGTTAGCGCCAGGCCGGCGACACGCGAGCTGCGGGGTCTCAGCGTGACTACCTGGGTTCCGCGCTGCGCGGCAGGCTGCTCCGGGGCGCGCGTCTCCGGGGCGGGCGTCCTTCCCGGCCCGTGCGTCCTTCGGCCCCCGGTCGCGACGGCCGGCTCTGTCCACTCTCAGTCGCGGAGTCGGGCGGCGTTCTTTAATAACCCTGCTCCCCTCCCGAGCCCGCGGACCTACCAGCTCGGGCCGCCGCTTCGCATATGGTCGCGTCGCGGAGAGGGAGGCGGCGGCAGCGCTCGGTGACTGCCGGCCTGAGGGGAGACGAGCCGCGCTAGAGTGCGCGGGAGGCCGCGGGGAGGTGCCTCCGGGAGCGGGGCCTGAGGTGGGCGGGCGCGGCGGCCTCCAGGCGGCGCCGGGCCAAGTGCGCGGCCGGCTCCCAGCACGCAGACTCGTGCGGTAGCGCGCCCCGTCGCCGGTCCGCGCCGAGTTCGCCTCTCGGGGGAGCGGCGTCCGGAGCGAGGACCGCCTTTCCTCCTGCCCTTCCTGCCTGTCCTTGGTGCACGTCGAGCCCTAGAGCACGGACGGACAGGTCAAGGCGAAAGAACAGTGGGAGTCTCCAGAAAGGGGAACTGGAGTGATGGCCCGGATGCTGGAAACACACTCTCTTTCTCTCCAAGCCAGTAGGGGTATCTTCTCTATCTCTAAGGGAGAATATAATGAGGGGCTTTGCTCTCCTTTTTCCTTGTCTCCCCCAATTCACATCCTGGCAAGTAGTCTCTGTCTAACACAGTAATAAGGAAAGAAACCTGGTTCCCTTCCTTTAAGCAGGTCGAGCCTCCCAGAAACCGTTTGCAGCAATCAATTCTGCAAGATAATGGAAGCATTGCCACTGTGACAGAGTGGGTTTGTGTTCCAACACGTAAGGTCCTGGACAACACAGGCATTACAAACAGATCCAGCTACCAATGTGACATCATGTGACTGATGGCCCCCTGGAGAAAATTTGCCAGTTCAGAGATGGAGAGGACTTCTGATGCATGGTGCCGTTGCTTACCTAATTTATTTTTCCTTGATCCTCTTGCGACTTGCACTGCCTCATTTCCTTTGAGATTTGTATTGGGCCCTGAACTCTTCCCACTCATCGGCTTTCACAGCTCCACTTCTGTTTGTTTATGCCTTTAGCAGAAAGTACATAGATGTAGTTCATTTAGGATTGTGTGTGTATGTGTGTAGGAACCATTTGTAACCCATTCTGGTGGGTTTTAGGACCATTTCTAGGTAGATAATCCATCCCCAACGTTAAATTCTGTTGAGCTTGTACACCTGACATCACTTACCTTAGCCCTTTGTCATGTTTCTGCACAGATTACTATCTTGGTTATCTAATGTACTGCTTTATTGGAAAACAGCTTCGCGAAATCAAGCAACCTACATTTTTTCAAAAGTGTGCATGTGTGTGTTCTCATGTACCCAGACTTCTGAAATCAAAGGAGTATCAAAGGATTACAAGCAAGGTGTACTCTTTGAATAACCTTAGTTGTTGATGTGTATTTTGACATGGGAAAAACTCTGCTTCTGGGAGACAATTTAATGAAAGTTTTTTTCGTAAGTATGATGAAAGACCATAACATTTTGGAGGCCAGAGAGATGGTGGCAAGGTTGAAAATTCGTCTGTCATATACTCCATGGTCTTTAGAATTTTGTCATATGACAGCCCATTGTATATTCTCCACATATTTTATCTTTTTCACATTGAATGTTCTCCCTCCAATTCTTCCATGTCTCATGCAATGAGTTTAGAGTCCATAAAAATGGCTTAACCATATGATTAAGACCTAATGAACTAAAAATATTAATGAGAACATATTAAATAACAAAGTCATATTGGAAAGAAGCAGCAGCCAAATGGATAAAAGGGACTAAATAATAATGCATAGTTACAGAACATCATAACTTCTTTGATTAAACACTGTAAAATGGATGTATACTAACAAAATGTGTACACTGTGAAACAGCTGTTATTATTTCTTCAATTTTACAGATCAAGATTTAGGGAGGTAAGTAATTAAATTAAGATCTTACAAAAATTAAAAGATGTGGCTTCAACTCCATCCATCTCTCTTACTCAGCTATACTGCTTCCCATTCAAAATTTCTAGTTTATGGCTGGGGATTTTGCTCAGAGGTTTCGCCGCCTGCCGCACAAGGACTGGAGTTTGATCCCCGGTACCAAAACTTCTAGTTTAGCTACAAGTCTTCCATTTTCTTAGAACTTTTGGTAATTATAAAATCAGCTGATCTATATAATCCTTTGGCATTTTCCTTCTACCTCCCTCCTTTTTTATAATGCAAGGAGATTTCATTTTTAGAGTAGGCAAGGATTTTAACAGTCTTAACATACTTGAACTCATAGATGGAAAAAGTTAGGAAACTTTCTCCACGGTCTTCAATAAAATTAACCTATCACTGCAAAAGAAAATTTTACAGAAGAGTTATTTGTGAACATTTGCACCTGGTAAATGAATATGTGGTTCTTTAAGAGCTGTAAATAGACATTTTTTAAAAGTTCTGTTCTCCCTTGAAGGATGCAGTTCAATCATACTGGGCAAGTTTTTGGTGGTTTTGTTGTCCGGGTTCTCTAGTTAGTTAATCGTTATCACTAATGATAATTTGATTGTGACTCTTTAAAGCACATTTCAAAATTACTTATGAGACCAGTTATTTCAAGGGCATTTTTGGTAACCACAACTGATTGTAATTTTCACACTCTCAAATTGCATTCATAATTAGTGAGAAGCATGACAGTCTGTCAATTGCCTTTTTTCGTTAAGGTAGTCAGTGAAGCTAACATTTCTTGCTTATTTTCTGACAATTTTCATTCCATTATAAAGACTAGAATTCATATTTACTAGACCAGAAAGACATATGAAAATATATAACTTAATGGGCCGGGGATTTAGCTCAGTGGTTTCACTGCCTGCTGCGCAAGTGCAAGGACCCGAGTTCAATCCCCGGTACCAAAAAAAAAGAAAATATATAACTTAAAACACATTTATGGAAAGTTGATTCATTTTAACTATTTTGTATTTTCATTGAAAAAAATCTGCATGAGAAGCCCCATTTATAAATTTTAATGAATGACATTTTAGAAGTTTAGTAAATGAATGATTCTCCTTTAAGATTGTTAGTGTTTCAAGTAGAATTTCCCACTTTGCAACACATTCAATGATAAAATTTTTGTTGTGACAGTAAAACAGAAAACTAATGACTCTTTCCAATTTGTTCATTTTCATTTCTTGTATGCTAGCTGCTGTTTGGTTCCCAAGTGCATTTAACTGGCAAATTCATGAAGATTTGGCATTGCACCATTTGATGAAAGCAGAAAAATTAGGTTGCCAATTACATATATGCCCCTTATGTGCATTAAATTCCCACTGAAATAATGAGCCAAATTACAAATTCTTGAGTAGTAGTATCTAAAAAATAAAATTAGAACTCAAGAAAGTTAAGGGGGATCATTTAGCCTTTCAATCCCATTACTAATCATAAGAAATTTTTAAAAATTAACTAACTTTAATACATTTGCAAAACAGTGTAGGTGAGATTTCATTTAAAATTCTCATTTTGTTTTTCCTTTCCTATGTATTTTGTTGTTTCTTGCTTTACTTCATGCTCCATTATAATCATCCAATCATTATAAAGAAAGGTAAGCAAAGATCATTTCTTTCCTTTGCTTTACCTTATTGCTACAGGTTTGTTTGTTTGTTTAGGTACTGGTGATTGAACTCAAGACCTTGCACTTGCAAGGCAGGCACAGTACCACTGAGCTAAGTTCCCCGGCATATTGCTACAGTTTTAACATGTTTCCCAGTATTTGTTCGTGTGTTGGAAATTTAAATCTCCAAATTGATATGTTGGTGATATTTGAAAGTGGTCTCTGGGAGGTAATCAAAGTTAAATGAGGTTATGAGGGGACCATGACAGGATTAGTTGGGGAGAGGGGGAGAAAGAGAAAGAAGGAAGGAAAGAAAAAGAAAGAAAGAAAGAAAGAAAGAAAGAAAGAAAGAAAGAAAGAAAGAAAGAAAGAAAGAAAGAAAGAAAGAAAGA